GGCGGCGCGTGTTTGGCAACACTGGTTCCAGAGCTTTGGCTAACTGGTAATTAAAGAGCTTGGCGTTGTCGTTGCGGTTTATAAATTGGCAAAATTAAAATGACAATAGAGCTGTCAGCGACACTTTGAGCTGGGTTTCTCGGTCTATACGCCGTTGGCTATTATTACGGCCGTGTCCTGTCGCTTGGCTTTAAGATAAGCTTCGCAGCTAAGCAACAGTTTTTAAATGGCAGCAAACACCGATGAGTTATGAATTGCATTTAAAATGAAACGGAACATCGATCATTAAAGCTTGATTCTTAAAGCTTATAAAAAAAAAATTCAATCTCAATTTAAATTAAAATATTTAAAAGTTTTATTTACACAAATATTTAAATATTATATGCAAGCAAATATCTTTCAAGAGTAAAATGCGGTGGCTAAGAATAAAGGATTCCTGTTGACATAAATAAGACCTAACATCCTTTCCTATTTAAAGGCTTTTTTTTTTTTTACTTTTATAACAAAGTTAATCTAAAATCCGAACAAATTCTAAAGAATCACCTTCAAAATGGTTAAACTTTTGATACTAAAAACCTATTTATATATTTTAAGAGCTGCTCAGTCGGCTGAAGACTTGCAAATTGAAATTTTTTGCCCCTTTGGATCGGGCTACTTCAATATATATTTAATAAATTTTTACTGGGCCCTCAGGCAAGTGGCGCACTTCTGGGCTACTTTTTACTACTTTTTTTTTTTTTTTGGTTAAAGTCCCTTGCAACTTTGTGCATAATTTCTAATAATTTCACTTTGAGATGGCACTTGAGCTGGGGCTCTTGCAGTTTTCTTTTGTTCCCCTTAGCTCAGTTTTATTTCATTTGAGCACATGCTCGCACTGAAAGGGGCATCCTCCACGCAGCGCATTTTGTGCCATTTTATCTGCGGCGCTGTCGCAACTTTTTGGAGCAACGTTTTAACTTTTAGGCTCTGCGCTACTTTCAACACTTTGCTTTATGGCACTATTTGGGGCTGACTTTTTCCTACTTTGCGCTGCTCAGACATTGTCGACTAGCTCGGCGTTTTGGCTAGCAGGTGGTTGTTGATGGTGTTGGGTTGACCCTCTTAGCACGCCTTGGACATGTTTTAGTGCATTTAATGGCTGGCTAGATACTGTTACAGATACAAGGCCTTGTGCGGGCGAGCTTTGTACCGGCACGGTTCGATGTTGTGCAACACTGCAGCAAGTGGCCAATATTACCTGATCTACGAGTCGAGTAACATCAAAAATCGGGCACAGCAACAAAAATTCCAAGAGAAGTGTGGCGGCACATAGGTACACGGGCTGCCACACCCATCCCCTATGCTGCATGCTAATGAGTTTGAAAGCAATTGCCTTAAATTGTTTTGGGCCTGCCACATTGCGCTCAAATTGGGCTGTCCACTCGCTGCTGCTGCTGCTGCTGGTCCAAGCCCAGTTGAACCAAGGGTGTGTGTGGGTGTGGGGATGTGGGGGTGTGTGCGGACCTTTGCTCTAATTGCAGGCGTGTTTGATTTACACTAGCCATGAAATTGTCCATTTGGGCATTACAGCGCATTTAGTCTTCTTCTCCTTCATCTTCAATTTCAGCTACTTGTGCTAGTCTCGACCGTAAATCCGACACACATTCGCCATGCCAACTCAGATTAATGGCCCATTCAGGCAGGTCAAAGAGGTGAGGCAATAGCTAAGAGGCATTTATTTAGTGGCTCCCGTCCCGACTGGTGAACATCCTGTCGCCTTTTAGTTGCCCAATGAATTAAAGCGTGTCTGGAGTATCTGGCATAAAAACCGAGTATCTGTGTAGGTGTTGGTGTGCGTGTGGAATATATGAAAGAGCTTCAGCTAAGCGGAATTTTCATTAAGCTACTCAAGCAATTGTGTGGCATACTCAAGTTAAAATCGTATCAAATCGATTGCCTTTATTGTTGCCAGGACTTGAACTGTCGAATTTCCAGATTAAGTGTTTATTATCTAGGTCAGATATATGTCAGTTTTTTAATACGATTTTTTTGAAGACGAAGCGTGGACTTTACGGCTAAGTTCTGGTATAAGGTAATCCTATTTATATTTCGGAATCGATTATAAAGCCAATGATTAGTTTGCCATTTATTTCAATTCATCATAATTAAATTAGTATGAAGTATTTGAGAATTTGAAAATAGTAAGAGTCTTCAAATTGATTAACAGCACACAAATGTTGCTTATTGTTTATAAATATAAACTACATAAGCCCTATTTTCTCAAAATATATATCAGTAATTAAATTAATAGATGTAAATGGCTTTCGCACTTTCTGCCCTTTTTATCGGCTGCCCCATGCAGTATAATTTTGCATTCCTGTAAATATCTCATGAGAGCTCTCAGCTGCACTTACTATCAGATGACAGAAACCACAAACAATAGCTCAATTGATGCATTGAATGGCATTTTAACGTATTTTTATCAGAGTGACCTCTCCTGAACCCTTACGTCAACCCTGACGCCCTCGTCGCAGTATTGATGCATTTTAAACGTGTCGTATAGAGGAGACAAGTGCAAGTTTCCTTGTCTGCGGGGTATTTCAGTATATTGTTAAAAACAGCCAAAGCCCCTAGCTGGACAGGATCAAGCAACTTGCCTCGTTGATGCTCTATATCAGTCCAACTGTTCATCTGTCTGTGCGTCATGTTGAGCTACAAAACAAAAAGTGTCGATGCATTCCCCGCTGCTGCTGCTGCTGGTGCTGTTTCGACTGTCATTTAATTCAATGACGGTCAACAAAGCATTGCCACTGGGATGCACTGCAGCAGCTGTTCAGCTGAAGCTAGCGGGGATGAGTTTGTGTGTATGTGTGTTTGTGTGTTGCTATAAGCCTCGCAAGCAGCGTGAGGCAGTGCCACACAAAACAATTTCCCTGGAGAGTTTCCATGTTCAGTTATTCGCATGTGAAAAAGCGCATCTGTTGTTGATTGTGTGAACTTCCTTTCAATCGTTTGTTTGTCGCTGTTTCTTCTTGTTTGTTGCCATTGTTGTTGTTGCTGTTGCTGCTTTTGTTGCTATTTTTTGTTGCTATTGTTGTGGGTGTTATTGCTGTTATCCGCTTTTGGCAACTCGCCTGCAGTTTCCGAGTATTTTTTTATACAATCTGTCTGAAACTCTTTGAGTACGGACTTTATTTTATCAATTCTTGAAAGCTTTTGTGGTTATACAATGAACATATAAAACTGTAATCTCAAGTTGTATCTTAAAATTGCGTTTAAAATTCTCATTTTATTCAATCATTTTCTCAATCGATTGACCACACTTTTCTTTATAGAGAAATAAAAAAAAAACATTTGTTGAAATATCAAAATTATAAAGAAGTTAGTTTCTCTGAAGAGCATTTAGAATTCGACTAGCTGCTATAGCTTTAATACAATTTTTATAGCTCGACCAATGCCATTCTACTCAGCGTCCTTGCCGTGCGTCTTTAGAAACAATTGCGCTCTTCTGCACAAATAAATATATATATATACCTAAAAGTATATATATAAAGTGTCATTCTGACCAAACTCAAACGCATCTCTAAGGAATCCAATTCTACCAAACACACACACTCACAAAGGCAACACACAAAAACACAAACGTACACACAGATGCGTAAGAAATTGCAGCAGAAACGTTGACATTTAGAGGGCGGGGTCGTGCAGGTCGAATTTTGTGCATTGTGCTATTTATTTATTGCACGGCACAAGCAGGCCCCACAAACACACACACACACATAGAAAACTTAACTCGAAGTCCTGCTGCCTGCTGGAAATGAGATAGTCACTGGCATTGTTTTGCTCCGAAATGAAATGAAATGAACGGCATAATGAATGTGTGCACACAGGAGCCAAGGGACTTGAACAGAGTCGCAGTAATAACTAACTAACTCTCGGCATAATTGTCTGGCCCGAGCCGAGCGGAGTCTCTCCTGCAGCGTCGTTTATTATTATTTATTGCTGCATAGAAGCATTTTTCTATTTTCGCAAGTAAAAGGCTGCTGTTTGTGTCAGCTTTGACACTAATGAGGCTCACATTATTATAATGCTAAATATTGCAAAAATAAAGATATAATTTACTGAGCTATAATAAAAACGTTACATTATCCAAATATTTTAGGCCCAATTATTTAATAATTTTTTGAGAGAGATAAAGAGTCTTACGGAAAATGGAATAATTTTATTATAATAGTGTAGTAGTTACGATTTTTTTGTTTAAATATATTTTTTCTATATATTCTCTAGATATTTTGTATATCCAAATGCATTCCAAAATGTTGTAGCATACTTATTATCACATAGATTAAATACATTTTTTGTTTTAAAATTGATTATGTAAAATTTAGAATGGGCAAGTTCATAATATATATACAATAAAAAAAGTATCGAGTGGAATTCAAATGCTTCTAAAGACAACAGCTTTAAATAAGGGAAAAGCATTTGGTATAATTAAAAAAGATAATTTCAATTGCTCGAAGAATAAAGAATAAGAAAATAAATTGCAAAACAATTTCGAATTCAAATTCTTTAAATAAATATCATAAATTGACGCATGCGAGCATATCTAATACCATTTATTGCCACAGTTACCTATTTGAATCCAGCTGTATATCACTAAAAATCCAATCGATTGACTGTGTTTTTCCAATTTTAAGCTAGACTACACAACGAATAAATTTTAATTTAAAGCAAAGCTGATGCACAACATTTAGTGACGTCAGTGCCGCGAAATAGCTGAAGCCTTTTGTAGGCTCTGCCGTCGCTAATCCTTGCCACTTAAAGCAAACAAATTGCCTCATAAACAATTCTAATTGAGATGAACGAGACGGATATGTATGTGTACACTTTGGCAAAGTGTTAAATGCAACCAAGTCTTTACTTTGCCCAGCCGATATATTCGTTTCAGCCAATCCCCGTAACCGTTGCGAGGTTGGCTTGTATTTCACACCATCATAAAATATCACATAAATTTCACTTACTTTTTTAGCGTGGCAGCCAATGCCAAATCGGGGCGTACATCAAAGCGACTCTGCATATAGAAGCGCAATAAATTATCGCGTTCATTTTCACGTAATCCTTCCTCGAGTGCTAATGCGGCCAATGTATGATAGGATTCTGACTCCGTGATGCCGAATAATAAATCATAACTGCAAGAGACAGCAAACGTGAGTACAAGAGAGATGGAGGGAGAGCGAGAGAGAGAGAGAGAGAGGAAAGAGAGAGTGAGAGGAAGAAAGAGACAGTGTGAGAGGTTAGTTTGCGACGGCAGCTATAGAATTATAGCTTGTAGTAAATATGTGAGTAGTTAGGCGTACTCCACATTTATATATGCAGAAAGTTATTTTCAACACTGTGAGCAACTGGTTGGAAAACATAACAAACATTTTTACCTTTACAAAATATTAAGTTCTTATTTTAAATAAATACACACATATTTGTTTGGTATAAGGTTGTTAAAAATTGGTATGTTGTTAAGGTAATTCCAATTTTATAAAATGTTATATACATAAATTTAATTTTAGGAAATATTAAAAAAAAACCTTTCTCAACTTATCAAATGTGAAGGCTTGCAAATTTTAAAAAATCTATGTTAAAGGAGAAATAGCAATGTTAATATCTTTTACCCAACAACAAATATTATCAATAAAGAAACTGAAATTGATCGTTGTCATAAATTTCGCTAAGTGCATCATTCGCTTATTGCAGACCACCCAGGGAAATCGCCATAAACGGCATTTAAAAGCACTAGAATAAAACGAGGTCCTGCGGCGTTACTTGTTACGCTGCCTGCCTGATAAATGGTGAGTGCCGCGTAGCTATGAAAACTAACTTGGCCAGCTGAATGCCAATGCCCAGACCATCGGGTGGGTGGTGTCAGTCCGCACTCAGCTACATATTGTGTCCTGTTGCGCGACTGATATCCTGCTGTAGAACAAAGCGCATGGCAAAGTTATTAGTGTCTGGGTAAGTTTTGCGTCCTGTCGATAAAAGTAAATGCAAAGCTTGGTCAGCGGCAGGAGTGGGTAGAGCTTTCAGTGTGATACTGGCTCGATAATTGCTGTCTTTGCTTAACGGTTTATTTTATTTACCACTTTGATCTATGGCCATTTCATTAAAGTGCTTAAAACTGAAATTCGAAACGAGCTAAATGCGCCAAGACTCTTAGCTGGAAAAGTACGAAACGTGCTTCTATTCACTTTGGACAAGTTTACAGTTACCTGGGCAGCAGTTGTGGGCGGCCTTTCCCGATGCAACCCACCCCCATCACCCACTAACCATTCACACGCCTGCCCGTAAACCGTAATTAATGGCACTTCCTCTCAGCTATTATTATATTTTTTTTTATTTTAGTATTCAGCATCTTGTCGACGGCTAAAACACGTTCGACTTGCAAAAGGATAACAATTAAAATCCAATTAATCACGCATTTTATTCGATTATGCGGAGCATCCCAAAAGCAAATGGACACGTTCCACAATGTACGTTCTACGTAAATGGGCAGAGTAATGTGGCCCTAAGAGAGCGACAGTGAGAGGGAGCGCAAGATGCTCAGATAACAAAAGAAGCTGATAGGAGCAACAAAAATGCTGAAATGAACCCTTTGTTAAGGCCTGAGTTATTACTTGTTGCCTGATTGATTGATGTGGATACAAAACAAACTCAAATACAAGCACAAACACACAGCTCGATATAATAGCAAATGCTTGCTGAGCTTAAAATATTAGGCTACCCCAGTATTTTAAATCAATGAGCACGCCAAATGAAATTCTTAAAGCTCAGGGCCGGCTAAATTCAAATAAATAATCTATTGTGTATTGTTGCGGGGCCTGCGTGCATATAAACTTAGTCGTTTGTGTATAAGCTGAAAGAAAGATTAAGCTAGTTAGTAATTAGAACAAGCATAGCTAGTTATTATGGCTAATTCTATTACTGTTTATTGGTTTTATTTTTTTTTTTAGAGATGATATGAGACTTTTTTAAACTCTATATTGTTATTGATAGAAGCATGGTTTCGGGCTTTTTCTGATATCGATAGGAGTTAAAGTTATAGTCTTATATTCCTATAATGCCAGTTTTCATGTTTGTATATTAAATTTAAGCTTTCATTTAAATTTCAATAACAACCTGTCGTGACCTTTCATCTTTTTAGATGTAAGTCTTTTAGCTTGCGTTTGCTTTGCCGTCAAAATTCTAAGAAAATGCTTTTAATACATTGCAAATATTTATAAAAAATGATTAACCTGTCTGGGCCAAAAATGTACTCGTTTTTATGCACCGTTTGTAATTTGTCTGCCATATGTAGTACACAATTTATAAATACATTTTTATACGACCCATTCAAGGTTTAGAGCTGCCTAGAACATGCCATTAAGTGGAGTGTTAGCCTGCCTTTAGGGCCAACAAGTGGCACTCGAGGTGCTATTCAACTGATGTTAGCCAAGACGATGGCAATGGCTGCTAAATTCGCTCTAAATGGATACTTGGATTACACGAGCGATTTGATTTTACCTGAGGGTCAAAACATGCCACATGCCACATGCCAAATGGCAAATGCCGAAATGCCAAACATCTAATCAAGTAACGCAACAATAAATAAATAGTCCTTGGGCTATTTGGCAGGTTTTCGTCGGGCTGGTAAAAAGCAAATATCAAAAGCTAAAGCAAAAACTGGCATAGGGGAACAGAAGGGAACTGTGACAGCAATTGGTTAACAAACCGGCTGAAATGCTCCGTATAATGCCCCATGACCTTGTATGGTTGATTTGGTATTACGTGTCCATCGACAATTGGACCCAATGATGTTGAAAATTGTTGAAACGATGTTGGTATGTGCAAGATATCCTGGTAGCTGCAAAGAGTAATAGAAAGTATCAGAGAAATGGCGTAAAAAGGTCATATAACTGGACGAATGAGTCACAGAGTGGGAATAAGTGGGTGCGTAACAGGGTGTCTGAATGCGCCGCCTGACAGCGGCTACTTTTCACTTTGATTTGAAATTTCTAATAAATTTTATGTGTGATTTGTTGCAGGACACGCACAACGCTGCCCTCAACAGCAGGTCCTGTCCTTAGCTCCACACGTGCGCCACAAAAAGATACAACCCAATAGATACACATATAGATACACATATGGGTAAGGGTATTTTATAAGGATTTTTTTGTTATTATTAAAACAGATGTTTCTTTTCATATCACTACCAATTAATTTACTAAAAGAAATATGAATTGTATATTAATAAAGCTGATGTGTTAGGCAGAAAAAACCACAACCCCACAGCTACGCGTTTATATACATATTTCTAGCATTTCAGCTTTTCGATTTGCAATTTCATATACATATGCATTATCCTATGCGGACATACAATAAACCACCTTTTAACGTGCTGAATATCATATCTGAAATGCAACGAACATATAATTGTACATACATATATATATATATATATATATATATATATATATATGCCCCAAAGTGAATTTCATTTTGTGTTGCCGTTGGCGTTGCAGTTGGCAAATGGCAAATGGTTCGACTGGGTCCGATTTCTGTTGTAGTTGGCATAAAAATGCACATGCCAGAGCTGTACTCAGTTCAAGTACTTTGCAATTGATGCAAATTAAGAAAAAGTCGAGCAAATATTCGATTGCATGCAGCAAATTTTATCTATCAACTGCAGACATAGTCAGCCAGTATAAAAGAGATCGACTAGAGAATAACCTCTGCACAAATATTTAGGAAAGTTCAATTTCGAGGTACTTTTCATTGCAGTGGCTTATCAATGTTTGTGAATACTTAATTTTGATCTGATGACTCTTTCTGTTTGCATATACTCTCTTTTATGCATTCATTTGAAACAGGGTATGCAATAAAACAGTAAACTTAGAAGTTTGGACAAGGAGTAGGTTAAATTTCGTTTGGAATTTTTGCATGCTTACATTTGCACAATATTATTTGGTGTTGTATTGCTCAATGTTGTTTCTCAATGTAGCAAATGATGCGAACGTAGTGGATTAAATAGGGTCCCTATTGAACACGATATGCACTTATAAAAACATAAGTACGTTTTAAGTTGATCTAATCAAGTGAGTGTGCCTTAATGAGAGAGCTGTACACAGTTGCAAATTCGGAGAGGGGAGTCATTGATTTAATCAGCTCGTGTGGAAGACTTTAAGCTCGGCTAATGCCGTAAATTTGGTCAGCGCCTTAAGCAACATTATCTTGAAGCTTTTAAGCTGCACGGCAAATGCAGCACGACCACCACTAAGCTAACCACCAACCCACCAGCTGAAGAGCATGGCAAACACTTTAGGTCTCTATCAACCGCAGGAGTCTATCCGGCTGCTGTTAACGTTGTCAATTGCAGGACATGTTCCAGCACCGGTTGTGCTGTGGTCAACGCCAATTGCCTAGGGGCGTGGCTATCGACACATGACCAAGTTTGCCGCCTTTGTTTTTGTTTTTTTCCACAGTGTGCTCGACAATTTGCGGCTGCCTTGAAATAACGGTGCAACGACTCCTTAAACTCAACTTCCTCTTGGTTTTGTTGTTGTAGTTGTTGTTTGTTGTTTTCCTTCGTTTAGAGCTTCAATTGAGTTTCAGCTGCAGAGTGCAAAGTTTTGGAGCGTGTCGTATATGTGATTTATGATTTTCATATAGAAGAGATCTTTCCCTCTTTTCATCTCTATTTTGCTTTGTTACTGGCGGCTCTTATTAGCTACGCTCTGGCGGAAAACTGTCACAAGTTCCACTGCAACTACGATTAACTTGTTAGCTGTAGTTGGCTTTGATATAAGATATACAATGCTGCGCATTTAAATAGATGCACGGTTGTAGCACATTTAAATGCATATGTATAAATAATATTATTGTTTGTATTGAAAACTGTATTCATATTAAGAAATATAATTCGAAACTAAAATCTAAATTTATATATTGTCTGAAACATTTTCTGATTTTTTACTCAGCTTTATACATAAAGCTAATAATCGGTATCAAAGAAAAGAGGAAATAATAAATTCAGTTATTAAAAAATTATGAAATTTGAATAGCCATGGTTTTAATTATACTTATAATCAATTATTTATATATCTTTTTAAAAAAAAAAATAAATTGTATATTAAATGTGTCTATTTTTTATTTTAATATTATTGTTTGAAGGAGGTAGCAGATAGCAGGAGTAGCAGATGTTCGAGCTTTTGTTGTCCATATATCATAGTAATTATTTCATGATACACAAATCTTGTACCTATTCAAGTGACTTTATATATAAATCTATTGTGCTATATAACTAAATACATGTTGTCGCAGTTTTGTTCAGCAAACTCTCACACAATGCACAAATTTGTCTGGCCAACCGAGGCATACACTCTTTATATATGTGTGCGAGTGTATGTGTGCCTAAATGTGGCATCTACGAAGATTGATGATTGTGCTTGTATGCTGCAGCTACTTTAACAACTCTTACTCTTTGTTAGTATTGTTGGTGTTGTTGAATGCACCAGCGCAAGCCCAACATTTATTTAGACTGGAATCGACCTTGTTTTCAGTTGTTTTCTTTGTTGTTTCAGTTCATGCTTTCTATTTAATGAATTTTTAATATGCTTTGTGTTTTATTGTGTCAATTAAGTGAGCTCAACGAGCACAATGCAAAAATTTGTGCTCGCGCTGGATTATTTACGAGCTTGCTTGATGTGCATGTTTCTTTTTTTTGCGTAGTATTTCTTCAAATTATTTTCTTTGTTGAGCATTAGTGTGCCTTGTAACAATTTTTAAGGCGATTAAAAACGCACCAGCTGTAATTCTCTTATGCCTTTTCAAGTGACTTAATAATGGATGACAAAACATATACAATATTCGTTTATATTGTTGGTTACAATTAAAGTGGAATTGCTTAAGAAACAATTTAGTTTTTTCCATAAAATAATCTTCTGTTTTTTTTAATTTAATAGTTGCCACTTTAATTTGCATTTGTGAATGTGTTTTGAGTGACGTAAATTGCATAAATTATTCAGCAACAAAATATTATTAGAGAGTTAACTGCAATGCAAACGCATTTGGAAATAAATAATTAATTATTATTAGGTACATGAAATGCAAAATGCTCACTTCAAGGCAAACTGTAATTTCCATTGTAATGCGCTATAATTAAATCATGTATTCGCCAAGCTGCAAGCCGTATGCAAATAAAGATCACAAACTGAGCTTTGATAGCAAATAAATTAAACATTGGAAATGAGCAAATCATTTCAATAACTACAAGGAATCCAACACAGAGTCGAGTATAATTAAATATTTAATATGTATGTGTACGCAGCACAAAGGCTGCACACGCAAAAACATACACACACACACACGCATAGACACACAGGCAGAATATATTACTTCTATCTGAGCAATTGTGTGTGCACTGAAAATGCGAATGTGGCCAAAATATTTGCACATCTCGTTCTTGTTACCTGTTTGAGTTTAAGTGTATGGCTGACTTTGTGTGTCTGTGTGTGGGTGTGGCAATGGGGGCGGTGTGGCACATTTGCACAGTAATTCATACATAATTCATTGCATTCATTTAACACTCGCACATGCACTGCGCCCAGTTGCTCGCCCATTCACTGCTTTACCTCTTTATATAGTCACACCCAGACTTAAGTATACCCCAAAGCCTCACTCATTCATTAACACACATCCTGCCGCTGCTTTTAAGGATCTCTTGACTTTTACAAGCTGCACGCCTCCTTGTCATGAGTTATAATTAAACATAAAAACAAATTAAAAAAAAAAAAAAAAAACAACAAAATGAATATAAATAAACATAATCCGCCAAACATAATATTATTTTAATATATTTCTAATAAAACAATAAATTATTTCCCAAAGTAAATTAATATTTAAAATGTTTTCCTCTTTCTCTCTTAATAGTTTTCTTTCTTCTCTTTTTCTGTGATACTTTATTGACATTTTAACTATACATAAATATTATATTTTTAAATTCTCATTCCTTTTTTCTGCCAAAATTAAAATATTATATAAATAGCTCTTGTCGTTTTTAAACTAAGATAAGTATTTGTCCTCTTCTTCGCTCCTTAAATTATTCTTCTTGATTATTTTACTTGTCTTTTTAGCTGAATAACTCATTCTGTTTAATACTTTATTCATATCTTTTGGTATAATCAACTATAATTTTTTCAATTTTCAATATTTATTTTATCGTTATTACATGAAAACTTATTTAAAGAACACTTGTTCTTCGGATAGATATGCTCAAAATACTTTATCTTTGCCCTGCTCATTGTGCAGAAAGTTTACTAGGCTTTGGGTAAGGGTAGAATCACCCAACAGCTTGCCAACTTACTATGTCAATTTGTAGCAGGCAAAAGAAAGCAAGAAAGCAACACACACACATACATCGACACACTGAGAACACTCAAACACAAACACACACACACATTTACACTTCCCCACAAAATAGCGACTGTTGCGTTGCAATGTTTGTCTGGCGACAACTTTGGGGCGTGTGTGTACGTATGTGCGCGCGTGTGTGGATGAGTGTGAGTGTGTGCATGTGCTTGGCATAATTAACATAATTACTATTATTGTCCCGTTGTTGATTTTGTTTTACATACATTATTTTACTTCATGTGCTTTTATTTCGCTTTCTATGCAAATTGTTTTTTAGTTTTTCCGTTTTCTTTTGCCCTCCTTTTCGCACATCATAAATATGTGAGTGTGCGTGTATGTGTGTATACAGGATATGTGGAATCTGTGTATTTGTTTTTCCGACTCTGCTAATGTGCAATTAAACGCAATTGCAATGGACCGGACCACATTATAATAATTGTTTATTCAAATATTTAAAACAGAGATTGAACACGCAAATTCAATGTATTTTTTATTTAAAACTAAAATAAAATTTTAATTTGAACAACTGTTCAAATATAATTAAATAAATTATAAATGTAAACAGATTTACCAATTAAATATTAAATTCAAAATCATATCTATTTTATCTGAATATCTATATGTAAGATATTTAAATTGGTGAAATTAAATTTAAACTAGTCAAAAGAAATAAGTAGTTTACTTCAGGATACAACGAAAATGTGTATACATTTTTAATAATGAAATATAGACATCATCAAAAAATATTAGTAATAAACATTTATTGCACACATATTATCCACAAAAAACTAATAATGAATATGTAGGTTCTTCAATAAAGTCATTATTATTAGTCATTACATTCATGTCTATAAACTAATATTCATAAGTAAACTCAGCCTTAATGTTGAAAAAGTTCCAAGCTAAGTAAAAAATATGCAAATAAAGCGTATAATTTATTGAGCCTGACACTTAATGGCCAGCTAAGTGGATGACCCTAACCTCGGCAGCAGCTGAAGAAGCTATCCAAAAACGTGATTAATTGAAAAGCAATTAACTGCGACCGCCCGCACCACAAAATACAAGTGCCGCTTATTAGGCGCGTGTTTTAGGAGCCGCCGGACACAATGAAAATAGGGGATTACAACTAAACGGGATGCGAAACAAGGATGCCCACGCCCAAGGCTTAAACCTACGCATGATTTGTTATGGTCAGCTATTGTCATGGGCATGGAGGGAGCGGGTGGGCACAGGCCGGGCTGTCTACGGTTCATTGAGAAAGCGGCGCGACATGCTCGTAAATTTATCGTATCATTAGGCAGCGCACAAAAGCCAAGCGCCAATTGAATCAAAGCAAAACAGGGCACACGGCCTGTATGCTTTTGGAAGATGCCCGCGTAAATTAAATTAAGGCATTCAGCATACCACGGCCAAACAGGATAATGGACAGAAACTGTAAGGGGCATTAGCACGCATTGTGGTGCGATTAAAATGGACACAGTGCTACAGACAGGCAACCATTCGCACCACTTAATAATTCAGTAAATTGATTGACTCACCGACGCTGGCGCAGGCAATCGAGCAGAGCATCATCCTCTTCGTGGTCACCCAGCGGGCAGTCGAGGGCGTTGGCTATTTGCATGGTCAATTGCAGCGATTGATTGCTGGCTGCCCAGTCGGACATGGCCGAGCCGGACATAAGTATGGCGCGATGAAATAAACCTGCAAGTCATCCATTAAATGCATATATTATCAGCGAAAAGCTGGCGAATCGGTGCACGGCACTTACCTGATGCCACCGGTGAGACCATTAGATAATTGACGCAGGCGGCGCCCGTGCTGTGGCCCATGAGTGTAACCCGCGTATTATCGCCGCCAAAGGAGCCAATGTTCTCCTTGATCCAGTGCAGTGCCGCTATCTGATCGAGCAGCGCATAGTTGGCTATATTATGAGCATCAATGCCAGGACGCATAAACCCTACGGCATATCGTGATGAGCAATTAGCAGACTGTCCATTAAGCCCGGCCATACGCCATTAAACTTACCCAGCACGCCCAGGCGATAGTTGACGGTGACCACAATTACCTCGCCATAGCTGGCCAGCACTGACCCATCGTAAGCATTGCCGCTGTTCCACTCAAAGGACTCACCATGCAAATAAACAAGCACCGCATGCAACTTGGGCTTTGCCAGCGGCTCTAGGGTGTCAGAAGTAAATACGATTCAGTTTTAGGACCAACTGAGTGCATCATTAACTTACCCTCGTGCGGAACATATAGATTTAAGTACAAGCAATCCTCGCTCTCGGTTTTCAAATAGGGCATTAGCCGCATCAAGTGCTTGTAACGACCACGTGACATATTCACGCTGCTGGGTCCTGACACATCCGGTAGTTTTTGTGGACAAACCGGCGGCAAATGACGCGCTATTTTCAGTCCCTGCCACGGCAGCGGAGCGCCTGTAAAACAACAGAGGTAGGGCCGGGATAAAAGGAGTGAAAAGGCAACACCATTAGATAAGCTAAAACAAACTTTCATAAAGTACTCGACGCGACCAGCAGCTGGCAGCTGGCAGCTGGCAGTATCCAAACACAGTGGTCCGGTAAGTGATAAAAGCTGGTTAAACTTAATGTTATATTAAATGAAAGTGCAAGGGTATATAGCAAGAGGATATAGTATCATTAAAATAAAATGTTAATAATTATACTAATTTTAATTAATTTACAACTTGAGGCTTATAATAAATGACACGAATTTCTTATGAAAATGGCAAATATTTTCGCTTCCAGAAACTCACAAACCTAACAGCTTTGTTAAATCTAAATTAATTTACTCGATTTACAAATCTATTATTTCATATATCATCTTGATATATATTTCATCTCATTTTACCACTGTGCTAGTTATAACCAATGATTCCATGCAAGTTTTTTTTTCTGATCCTCTCATATTTCGCCACTCCTACAAGCTGGGTCGCCGCGGAATAAAAAAGAATTCGATTGGCTTGCGTGGCATTTGGGGAGCGCAAAGTCAATTTTGTATTTATGTAGCACGGTCAACGGTCACTTCGAGGTGCCGTAAACAAGTAGACAGCCACATTCAAGCTCACAATTACACTCGCACTCACATTCCGAACCGGATATTACGTGCATGTGAGTGCAACAGCAGCAGCAGCAACATTCAAAGGACACTCGGGACACTGTGGCCCCCCAGTTGACTGCGGTTGGGTTTTGGCATTTCAGTTAACGTCGCATCGCATTCGAATGGGTCTTATGTGGGGCAATTGTAACCACGATTTGGTCAACTTAGTTTCGATTCCGTTGCGATAAATTGAGTCATCGAGCATGCTGCCACAGCAAGCCCCATGACAAACCTTATGCGGTATCGACAGACCAAATTGCATCAGTTTGGCTTGCAGACCGGTTATTCGGTGACAATATTTGCCACAGATTCAAATGCTTCCACTATGCAAATTTTGATAATATGGTCAAGTGCACAATTGTTGCAATGAAAGAATTTCAATGAAGTTTTTTGTAAAGAATTAATATGGAATAATGCGAAGACAAAATAGCAAAGCGGTAGAATTTAATTAACAAGTTATCATTCTTTTATAATTGGGTATTTTTACATTGTACTCATAAAAGAAAGAAATGAAAGTGTGGTAGGGCTTATGAATGTATTATATCGAAATTATTGTTTTTGCAATAAAATAAATCGTTATTTTAAATATAAAGGATAAGAAATTTTGAGCGAGTGCTCAAGGAAAAAATTCTTGCTTTTATAAGAGTTTGGGTTTTATTAATGGAAATTTATTAAACAAGATTCAGATTTGATATCTTGAATTAAATATTATTTAATTTAACCATTAGACATTAGCGATAATTCATTTTGGGCCATTCTGGATAATTTTTCATAATGATATTAAACTGAGAATATATATTTGTTATATTTGTTTTAATGAAACGAAATATAGACAGAATTATTATATAACCAATAAATGAATTCTTAAGTATAGATTATAAATGTTGCTATCTTTACTGAAAACTTCTCCTAAAAGTGTACTCACATTCAAATAATAAACAACTTCCATTTCCTCCTAGACAAATTTGTACATATCTTAGCACTCCTATCCTACGCCCACCCGAAGGAACATGCAGCATTTACACTTTGACATATTCGTGTCAAAATAAATTTCATTTCGCATGTCGAATAGCACTCGTTATGGTCCCATAAAACAAAGAGAGGGCAAAATCTATGCGCACATGATCACATCTTTGTGTGTGTCACACAGTAAACAGCAAAGCTGTGTGTGTGTGTTGGCTCGCGTTATTTGCATTTTGTTATTAATAAATTTCGCGCTGCTAAAACATAAATGAAGGCAACAGACCTACGACCCATAATATGAGAAAGAGAGGCCGGAATACAAATACGCAAAACAATTTTTGACGTGTTTTAGACAAACTTTTTGTATTTGCCGCGCTAACTGAAACTGGAAAGTGTGTTGTGTGTGTGCTTGGATGCGTTTCCGCATTACGCATACGCAAACGAATCTTGTGTTTGCATTGGCTTTGTATTTGTCTGGCAAAACTCAACGGCGGATTGTTGCAACACCGCGCCGCCATGTTTGCAACAACAACTTTCGCCTGTCCGCAGTGTTCCGTTTATGTTGCACTTGCCGCTTGGATTGAGTGCGCGCCACTCAAGTGCTCAATAAACGCAGCACGGTGACAAACACTCACACACACATACAAAAGACACAAATAGGTTTCGTGACAAGGGCTTTTGTCACGGCCTGCGGCTTTGACTGTCTGACAACAAATGTTGCGCTAGCCAAGCCAAGCGCGCATGCCACATAATTTATTGTCCTTAGCGCTGGCCATGTCCTGTCTCGGCTACATTGTGTGCACAATGTTCTATCACAAACTTATTGCAGTTTGCTAGCAACCTTTGCTTCTTGGGTGCTTTTGCATTTGTGTCCTTTCGCTTGCGGCTTGCATTTCTTGATCGACCATATAATATGCAGTTGTAGCTTGGCCAACTTCCGTCTATTTATAATTTTCATTTCAGTATTTAGCAAGCGCATAATTGGCAAATATTTACAATTTGTGTGCGCATAATTAACATTGCTCCACACTGTGCAAGCCCAATTAAAAAACAAACAAAAATATGATACGGACAACTTGCCAAATATTTCCAACATATTTGAGTGGCACATAAATACAGAAATACTCTAGGCAGTAAACGTTGCCGTTCCATAATAACTTCCTGCTGGTCCCCCAAGGAGCATCCAAGCCCAGCAACAAAAACATCCAAATTGTTTGAGTGTGGCATACTTTCGGGCTGGGCGTGGCAGCCGGTGTACGTGTCAAGTTTTGGGAAAACCTTTAGCCAGGTGCGGCCCAAAGATAATTGCTTAAATTGCAGGCTAAATTCAAATTTGCCATGAAGCATGTTTTGGACATGGTCAGAATTTGTAGCTGACATGTGTTGCGTAATTTTGGTTTTGATTTTCGTTTGCTGCCGATGCGAGCAGTGCTGTAAAGTGCCAACATGAATACATATTTGTGGCCAGCGACAGTGTTGGCAACTAAAAACATTCAAAAATTGCAAAAGCTTGCGAATCGTAATTGTTATCCAAGCCATTATTAAATTACTTGTGAAACGAAAATTCTTAGATTTTTGGCGGTTTTCACGATGCAAGTGTAAGCGTTAATTATTTAAAAAGTTATTTTTTTTTTAATTCTAACAGTTATTTTAACTAAATAAGAAACCGACCCAAATGGAGCATTGAAGGTATTCGGAGCGCTAAGTACGTAGCTTAATATCTTAATGACAACATAGCTTATTATTACATTGTTCACCATACTTGACAGGGATTAGAATGTTTTTTTTTTTTAATCTATTTTTAGCTTAAAGACAGCTAATCTGTCATCACTATAGCTACGTTTTTACTTACCCGGCGGCATAAAGCGTCTACTGCCAATGGGCGCCTCCGCATACGGGAGCCCCAGATACTGATCCACCTCGCGCAGTCCACTGGTCACCAAGAAGCGACGTGTGATGCCCATCAGACGACCCTGTTTGATTTGCAACTCTTTCGTGTACTGCAGCTTGTCAGGCACCACATGACGGCGTTCCGGATGATGAGTACTCGTACCGCTTCCACTGCTGTTATCGATGTCAGAGGACGTTGTTGTTGTGGTTGTTATTGTTGTTGTTAGACTGGACTCTGACTCTTCGCTGGCAAATAGCTGTGACATGCGCTCCTTAAAGCTGAGCTCCAAATTGTGTGCCTTGGCTTGCTTGAATGTTAGCTGAACGATTGATTTGGCCGTCAATGTGGTGACATCCGGTTGAGCTGGTGGCCATGTTGTTCTTGTTGTTGTTGTTGTTGTTGTTGTTGTTGTTGTTATGTCCCCAATAACCGGCGATGGCTCAGCTGGTGTTTGCATTGCGGCCACACGGAATTTTGTTGCATTTTCCAGCTCATTTCCGTTGTGCTTGCTGCCATTGCGGAAGTTTGGCGGTGACTGAATTGATTTTTGCTTTGGTAGTGCAGCAGTTGCTGCGGCTACAGCTGGAATGCCCCAAGTGGCCAGCCCGTGGCAACAATTATCGCTTAATTGCTTCTGACTGCCACCAACTGTCAACAGAAATAGCCAAAAAGCGCCCAAATGAAACTTCATGGCGCCTGCTTTGCCCCTGGTTTCTACTCGTTGCTGGTTCTTCGTCTTTTTATTTTCAAATTTTCAATTTCAATTTTAATTTTAATTTTAGCCGAGCGTAAGTTTTCACATTACGTTTGTCTTTTGTATTTGTCTTTTATCTTAGCGTTTTCTTTGTTGTTAATTGAGTTTTATGCTCTGCCAAAATCGCCACATTTTCTTCTATTTCATTTACATGGATTTTCCAGCTGCCTCGAATAGTTTTCACACTTTATTTACTTAAAATTTTTAGCATGTCCGGTCCTGCTCTCTCCGTGCAGTGTTTACTGTACTTTTTCTCTTGCATTTCAGCTGCAAGAAAACTTTCATTCAGTTTTCTTTGTGCAAAGTGCAAAGAGAGAGAGAGAGCTGGGTAAGACTCGAAGCAGTAAACAATTTGTTGTCGCTTTAATTTTGAGCAGCTGCGTTTTATGGTATTTTTCTTTTGTGATTTCTTCCACTGCAAATATTTACGTTTTGTCGCTTTTGCATGCTAAACTTTTGTTTGTTTAAGGAATTTGAGATTGAACACAATTTGGAGACACTCTGAGATTTGGATTCAAATATTTACGTGGAGATTGTGGTATTTAAATAACCGGCAGCGTGTTGACTATTGTTCAACATTTAGTATAATACACATACAATTGTATGTATTTCTTGCAATATCCTAAATGTTTATTAAATGGAATTTAATATTGAATGTATTGTTTTAAAATTGGTCAACAATAATATTAATTTTTGTCTATATTAAACTCATTGCAATTACAACGACTTACGATTTACGATTTATTCACAAATTAAATTTAATATTACTTATTTATTTGTTTTTAAAAACTTTTTTTATTTGTGTAATGTTTTAATTTAAACATTACTAGCTTCAATAATTATTATTAGCGAATGGTTACCAACAGCACTATTTCTTGATAATATTTTTCTTGTGTTTTTAATTTATATTCACTTATACACTTAAAACAAGCACAATTGAATTTCTCCGACATTTGATGTACCCATCAGTCAGTGTTGTTTTTCCACTTCATATTGATAAGGTTTTTCTTCAAAGTGCTGTTCATTTTTTCAATTTGGGAATTTATGTTTCAATTTTCACTAACAACAGCCAATTATGTTGCAAGACTCTTGTGTCTTGTGGCAGCTCTCTAAACAATTGCCGAGAAGCACACACTTTAAGGATTATCAAGTCAATTGAGTTTAATGATATTCTTTGTAGACTTTCAATTTTGAACAGTTCCATTGAATGATATAAGAGCTGCCATTAAAACGAATTTGTATACAAAAAGAAAGAAATGAATTTATGCATAAAATACGTAGAACAAACGTCCATCATTCAAGTTCCGACACATGCCAAATCAAATTTGAATGCTATACGAAACTTTAGTGTCAGATTCACATTTTACTGTTGAATAAACAAATACCAAAAATAGCGAAATTCCCATGACGATTAATCATAAAAATGCCAATAAAAATTCAATTAGCTTCTTATTGGTTCTCTACACAGCGCACGCGTATATGTGTGTGTATGTGAGTCTCAGCTATATGCGTTGACACTAATGCCATCTATACATAAACCAAACCAATGCAAATATCTAAAAAAAATAAAATGAGAACGCAAAAAAATGCCTTTTAAATGTTCACCAGAGCTTAACACATACATAGATACATGCGCCTAACATGTGTGGGACAGCTCGGAATGTGTGTGCGAATGCTAGGGTATGTGTGTGTGTGCGTGAGAGTTTGACTATATATCAAAATAAACACAACGCTGTGACGCTCTAAAAGCATTTTCTTTTCTGACAAAAACCAATTTAATAAAAAAAAATATAATCTAGAGCAATATGAAAAGAGCCAAAGAAACGTCTAACAAACAGGAGACAACTATTTAACTATTTATTAACTGAGTTCATTTAAATTTAAATTAAAGCAGCTATTTATCTATGAAACTAGACCTAAATAAACGCCTTTCCATATTTATTATTGAACATCATAATTTCCGGCTGCACTTACAATTCTTTAATATAAATATATAAAAAAAAACATCAAAAATATGTCCCAAAAAAATTGGTGAAAATATGTGAAATGCTCCTAAGTGTATTTTTGTATTTCTATTATTTATTTACAACATTCCTCATTATTTTTGTTGATGAACCGCACAAAAGTCAAGGTACATTAACTGCAAACATAAACTTTAATTTTTTTTTTTTAAGTTTTATTTTGGTGTTGCAGTTTTTCAAGCACTTAAGCAGCCGCGTAAATTGTTTTCTAATGAAAAAGACCCATAAATTCTGTTCTACGTAGGGGCTAATTAAGTCAGTATTGGCTTATGTTTGCTTTTGTTTTTTTTTTTCCTTTCGGATTCGTTTGTTCGGGGTATTTTTAGAGTGGTTCATTGAGCAGCAGCAATGAAATGGAAAATCATCGCTATTTCGGTGCCAGCGGCAGATATCGTCATATCAGCTGTTGAGCATAGAGGGTATACGGATTTGATGACTTAATTCACTTTCACTTAGTGAAAACGCAAATGCATTTCGTTGAAAATAACAAAAATAGGTAATAAATAGACGAACTAAATACAACATTTAAATAAAATGAACAGCATTAAAAATAAACTGCAAAAGTGTAAAAATAAAAAGCTAAAATTGTAATTCGACAAAAAAATATCCACGGAAATTCTTTCGCTCACCAAAAGGAAACGACAAAATAAAATAACGAACGCAAAAATAAAAATAATATAAATAAAGAGAAGAGAAAAGGAAAACTGAAAATGCAGTCATGAGCTAAACTGGCAGAAAATGTCAGGCACTGGCAGCTGGTAAATGGCGAAAACAAAAGAACTCTTCGTATTGCATTAGGAATTCAAGTTAAGTTAAGTGATTTGATTTGGATTACTTTGTCGCCAATGCCGGAGCTGATGCTCATGCCGATGCTGATTTTGGTGCAGGCGCAGTACTTCACACGGCCCGCAGCAGCCGATAAAGTATTTGGAAAATGCTTTGAACTTTGTTGAATGGAAGTTCTATTTAGATAAAGTTTCCTTACAACTGAGGATATTTTAAATAAAATAGTTCCAGAATTGGGGAGAAGTATATGGTGATCTTTCTTAAGATCGCTCTTTAATATATGATATAGGTATCAAATTTATAAATTTACATATATATTATAATGCGAATTTGCGTACATGAAAATATCCTTAAGGCGGATTTAGATGTTGTAATAAAAATTTCATGTTAAATTATTCTTTAAGCTTTCAAATGCAACGAACAGTTTTTTTTTTTTTTAAATGTTTGCCCTTTTGACAGCTTAATCTACTAAAAATACGCATATATAAGTATAAAATACAAATCAACTAAAAACGTTATAAAAAAATGAGTAAAAAATATTTAAGCACATAAAATTTACAGTAAGCTACTAGTGGTTTTTTGAGTAAACATGTTGACCAACTGTTATCAAAAATGAAAATCGAAGCAAATGTGTTTCTGATTGCCGCAATATGTTGCACGCACAGACACAAATATAAATGACACGCAGTTGCATTCATGAATAAATGAATAAAAAATGTATAAACGAAAAAAATGTAGGAAATATAAAGCCAGCGACAACGACTGCCAAAATCATGTTGACAAACTCCACACTCATTACCTCCAAAAATAAAAATAAACAAGTAGCAGGTTCTAGTCGGGAGCTCCCGACTAGGGGATACCTTGAACCCTCTTCTTCCAACATCAAATGCATATATATTTTTTATTTTAGAAGCTATATGTCAAGTTTGGTGACCCTAGCTCTATTATTTACCAAAATTGACCAAACAACAAACAAAAAGTAAGTTATCGATTATCGGAAACAAACTCGATCTGCGCGGGAACTAGGAGCACCTACATCTAAAATTGCAAGTCTCTAGCTCTTATAGGTTCTGAGATCCTTGCGTTCATACATACGGACGGACGGACGGACGAACAGACGGACGGACATGGCTAGATCGACTCGGCTATTAGTGCTGAACAAGAATATATATACTTTATGGGGTCGGTGCCTGTTACATACGTTTGGATTTTGCACAAATACAATATACCCTTATACCCATTTTTACTGGGTTCAGGGTATTAAAACTTACTGAGAATAAATATTGAAAAAACAAAATAGCAAAAGTTGATGTGCAGCGCATTTTATATGCATTCTGTCGGAATGTCATAAATCATATGCTGCTCACAAAAGGAGCGTCAGACGGAGAAATTTCTACCGCATTTGTAATGCAAATGATGCCAAAGGGGCGCCTAGAGCTCACGTAGGGGATAAGTTGGGCTGAAAATTTGCATAATTAGCATAGAGGCGACAGCGCATTGAAAGCTGTCACTTTTGACACATAGCGAAAAATAGAAAATTTGAAACTCAAAACATAACAAGCATATCACACTAATAACAAACAAATTATTTGCAACTAATTTTAGGTGGCCCGCTATAGGACTGGGTCGCCGGGCTGCGCGCTGGGGCAGTGGCGCAGAAATTAGAAATTCAAAATAAGAACGCAACAAAACGAAGCGAATCTGTGCGAAATAAGTTCAACAAACCCCAAAAAGATACGCCACAAAAATTATTTCGAATTATGCGATTTATTTTCGTTGCAACAAGCTGCAGGCCACAGCCCCCAAAAGGGGGACGCATTCGAAAAAAGTGGGCGTTCGGGTAAGTAAGAAATGCATAAATCTGGCCCATTATCATGTAAATTGAGTGAAGCATAGTATATATACAATATTTTTAAATGCCCCGACTCGACACGGACAACTATTTTAATGCCAAATTGTTAACACCATTGCACTGTGCACAAATGTGTGTGTCTGTGTGTGTGCATTTGCAAAGATTTAAGAAGGATTTGAGAACACATTCCTCTAATTGACTTAATATGAAATGCACATGATTAAAATTGAAAAATTAACGGCCCCGATATCATTACAATACTTGTTGAAAACAAAAAACCTCTGATAGATTTTATAAGTAATGTTATTTGACCACGTTTTTCCTGAATTCAAGATTAAAGTAAGTGCAGGCAGAAATTTTTAGAAACTTATTTAAAGTTTGCCGCTTTGTAACTTTGCAATTGTTGCATCCATCAGCAGATGACTTTCTCAAATTTACAGAGGACATATATTTTATTATTTCTGTTTTCTTATTTTCTAGATATTTCTTTGAATTTTCTTTGACAGTTATGAATTTGCTGATTAAATTTCCAAAATGTTATATACAGTTTATATTTCCAAAGCAAATGTAATAGAGTCAATGGAAATATATTTGACGAATAGAGTTATGCCAATTGCTTTAGAGAAAAATAAATTTTAGAAAAAACTAGAGCAGGAATGCGTTTGAGTTAAGTTTCTCTACAAAACAGAACAAATTTGAATCCAAATTAAAAAGCTGACTTGGGGATTGGGGAGGAATTTTATAGAACGCTTTTATGCAAGTTCTACCCAGTCTTAAGCAAACACCTAACAAACTTCGAGATATTTGTTTAAAATCATTACGTGCATTGCGAATTCACTTAAAAGAGATTTGTGGAACAGCTTTGATAGACTGAATATTGTTTATTTTATTCATTGTTTTTTGAAAACACATTGTATTTGCGCCTTGGTTTTTCGACCGCTTGACGTCAGTTTATGGCTGCATTTTTCACAGCTGATGTTTACTCATATGTTCTATAAGTATCTGTGTGTCCCATACAATATTTATTTGAAACACAATATCATAAAAGTTAAGTGAAAGCATTCACTTGATTTACGTCAAAGTAAAAAAAGGTAAACAACAAAATATTTTAACAGATTTACATAACATTTTTCGAAAATGAATTTTTACTATTTTCCCCCTCTTTAATTCAGCACTCGCGAAATTGTGCATTAATTAATGCAAATTGCAATAAAAGTGCTGCAGGCTTCGGTAAGCAATATTGCGCTATGCGAATTGTAAATATTTGCAATGCTCACAGATTTTTCACATTTGCAATTTTTAATTTTTGCATTAATTATACGCATTATCAATTGTTGGCAATTTGCATTTACCAATTTGCGGAATGGCTTTTTCGCTTGATTTGCTGTTTAAGATTTCGGGACACTTTGATCTGAACGTTGAATCTTTTTGCCAACGCTTTGATCGCTCAGCGCTTGGCAAACGATAAAAATATTTATTATCTTTTCTTTTTTTTTTTTTGTCACAAATAAATAAATAAACTATTTTTAGGTTCACAAATCGATTGCATAAATAAACTTCCGCTTGTGCCGTTCCATAAATGATATACGCTATTTCACAAAAGCATTTTCCTTTTTCACATTTCCTTTTCGGTTGTTTTATTTTTGTGTTTTAGGGGTCTGACCCTTCGTTTTGCACTTGGCACGCGCGCGAGTTGCCGTTTGTTTTTGTCCCCCTTTTTCAAGATGCCGTTTATTTATAGACTGTGCAAAAGATGTATCTTGTGGATACTTGGCGTGGCGTAAGTATTTCCCAACACGCTCAACAACAACAGCACAGCTGCAACACGAGCGGCACGATCGACGTTCAAGCGACAACTGTTTTGTATATATTTTACAGCCAGCTTCACGTGTGTCGTGCCTGCGAGATCGTTCTCTTTGGGGGCTCTCTTAGTATCTCTCGTTTATGGTGGAGATAGATGTGCCTAAAGTTATATTTACGATTGCAGTTCCTTAGACAAACTGAACTAAAGAGCATAAATTCTAGAAATTATTTTTGAGCATACTTACTAATGATCATTATCTGTTTATTTATTCATATTGCTGCTGTAGTTCTCTTTTATGCTACATATTATTGGGAGCATTTAGTTACCTCGCTTTTTATTACCCGAAAATGCATACACTTACCAAATGATTGTCGTTTCCGTTTATTGAGTTCACCAAATATACAATGCAAACAACTCGTTGCCTCCGTTATTGTAGCTGCCATTTCTTTTTATATTGAAGCCTTTACGTCCATGTTGAAGCCGCCGTCTCCTCCATTGATGTAACATGGACCTCCTTGCTGAAGCCTCACTTGAATTTATGAGAATTGAGTAGAAGAACATATGTTACACACACACATGCTTACATACATACATACATACATACATACATACTTACATACATAAATGCATACATATATACATACTTCGATACATACATCTCTAAAGCATACAATCTTGGTTACATACAAAAACCACACACTCACACATTGACCTATACATACATATATAAAGCCATACATAACAACCATACAATACAATTTTGAATAGTTGCGTGTGGTATTTTCTTTTACCCCGATAGGCGTTTAAGACATCATGTTATGTAGCATGAAAAATTTATCTTCTGTACATAAATCTCAATATTCATATATATACAGGAGGTTATATCTTGGCCTTGCCCAAAGAAAGCTTTTCGCAACAATTTTAGATATAAATTTTTCTCCCATTTCCCAGCCGTGGACATTTCTAATTTACCATTACCATGTTGAACTCAACATCTACAGTTGTATTTTACACAACAATTTCAAAACATGCTTTAACTCCATTGAATAAGGAACCAAATGATGGAATCAACGTTTTCTGCCAAAGCAATTAATTCTATGAAAAACGCCCTGAAGATGCCGATATTTTGCGAAAAGTATGAAACACGGCTTAAATTAATTTTCGTAAGAATCTTTAAATAAGAACAAGCTTTCTCCCCAAACTTGCACCTTCCACTTATTAAGCCGCATTTATGGTCCATGGGTTTTCCGAAAAGTGTGAAACACGTATCAGATGAATGTTTACAAAGGCATTTGAAAATGATTTTAAAGCGGATCGACTATTATTTAAATTACTTTCATACAACCATTTTCCGCACGTTTAATAAACTCACGTATTTATTTTAAAGATTTTTGCAAGGCGGTGAAGCTCATACAACAGTTTTTCGAGATTTTTTTACATTTTCGGAAGGAAGTTTCGTTGTTAATTGCTTAAGGTAACCACAGTGAAAATTTCAGCTTCAGAGCTCTTACAGTTTGGGCTGTACATCGAAAACCAATCGAGTCAGTCTCGGACATACTGTTGTATGTGTAGATATGTACATGCTTTATTTCTATCGTTTATCTTCATCTACTTCCTGCGCATTTTCGGCCACCCACAGATCCACTTTGTCTCTTGCTTTCAACTTCATTGAACTCCCTTCCTTGTGATTATTAATTACCTATGCAGTTTGATCACTCACATGAATCCCCCAGCTATTTATCCGTTAAGCCGCATGGGGCAGAGTCACTTTCATGGTGCTTATCGGGCAGTTCCTGCCACAAATCTCCCACTTAGTCTGAGTGCACCTACGCTGCGTGTGCAATATCTGTGAACAATCTGACTTAAAGTCTTAAATCAGCTTGGCTTCTGGCCAATATTTTACCTTGCAACCCAACTCAAGAGCTAAAGTTTCTCTCTCTGTTCTTTCTGTTTGAGTCAATTTTGCATCTCTTTTTGCAGAAGCAGCTAAGTGACTTGTTTGACTTCTTCATTGTATGTGCGGCTGCCATTTCAACGCCCCACAGGGCCACCTGCAAAAACGTTTAAACGTGATTGCCAACTGCCAAAAGAACCCTTGCTACCTTTTTGTGTTTCACACTTTCTCGTTGCAGTGTGTGGGTCGCATGTCAGTCACAATACGCTGGATTGCTCATACGCACGGAAAAGCGGTTGGCAACAAAAAAATCTCGCACCGTTTGGTCCTGGACCTTTGGCTGACTTGCTACACGCTCTGCTTTTTTGGGCTTTCACTTTTGATTGCATGGCCTTTATAAATTGATTTGCTCCCGCTCTGACATTTTGGAAAGTCGATCGTGTAGCTAATTTACGACCATCAAAGTGCGCCAATAAATTACACTTTAATTGCAAGTTAATTAAAATTGAAGACCCTAACAGAGACGCACGCGTCTGCAAAGTGTTTAAAAATAATCAATGGCGCACGTTGAACAAGCAGAAACACATTTTCTTTATAGTCTAAAACAACAGAAAATATATAAAACTATATAAACAAAACCTTCTATACGAAGTGCACGCGCATATGGCGGTCAATTAAACTTATTAATTTAGCAAATGCAAGTGCAAAATTAAATTCATGTAATCATTGGCAATATTAAAATTAAGTGCATTTATTTGGCATATAAAGACAATGGTATTTAATAAATGAATATGCGATTAAACAATTTTAGTAAAATGTTGAAATTCAAATTTATAGAAAGCACATAATTGTTGAAATGAATTATCTTGTATATCCGAAAATTTTAATTAAAGTTAAAAAACATTCCTAATTTCCTTACAATCTAAATGTGAGCAAGCGAATATGTATTGGCAAACGTTATTTATTTTCAAATATATTTTTGGAAAATATGATTTAAATGTATTTCCCCACTGACTTTTATTAAAATTGTTGGTGTGTAAATCGGTATGTTATAGCACATAATCAGATTTCAGTTTGTTTATGACCGTGTCAAAAATGTTCATTTATTTATTGTCTATATATGTGTGTGTGTGTATTGATTTGCATTGCACTCGCTGCCAAAATATTTAAACATTTTACTAACAAATTCAATACAATTTTATTGGCATTTGAATGGCAGTTCGATGCTAACTATCGTACGCAAATTTTTATTATATATAAATTTAGCTGCTAACAAAATTAAAATGTAAATTCCGTATAATATATTTACTGAGTTATATGATTAGTTTTATAAAAATTTCGCTATATCTTTAAATTTGTATTTTTTTATAAATGTAGTCAAGCACACAGAACTGTAGGTCACAACCATAAGCCCATATTATACACATATTAAAATCCTTTCTCTCCTCGTAAGCCGCTTCCACCTACAACATGTTGGCCCTCACTTAATAAAGGGAGAGAGTGCGAGAGAGAAAGAGAGGCGCAGCTGACATTTTTATGACCCGTTCAATTTTGCGCTTCACCAATTCCTAGCCGAGCAATTTGCTCAGCAGTCAAACAGTTCGTGCCGCGGGGGGATTACAATTTGCACCACAGTTACGACCTAATTAACTTCGATTTTTGCGCTGCAGGCATTTACATAATTGCATTTCGCAGTGGACAACGCCCACCAAGAGGATAAGCAGCAAAAAAAAAAAATTGTAAAAAAATATAAACCCAACGCAGTGTTGGAAATCAAGTTAAAAGTGAAAGTTGCAAGAATAGACCAGAAATTACGTGGCAAAGCGAAATGAACAAAAAAAAAAATGTGTAATTGTATTTTGCGCTGCTTAGCTTCTGACTAGGACATATGGCATTACTAGATATAAGAGCGAAAAAAATGAGGTTGCACGGAACACAGACCAAGTCGAAGGCTCCCAGGCGGCAGCCAACTCTAATTAAGCCAAGCGCAGGCCAACTTTCAAAATTAGAAAGGCGAAAAAAATTGGCAAAAATTAGCAAGGATATGGAAAAAAACAAGAAGATTTAAATTAAAAACTAGCTCCCGTACCACCCACAGGAATACAGAGAATTATTTTACTCAAGTACAGCGCGCCAAAGCAAACTAATTTGCTGGTAATTATGCCAGAACTTAGACTTGTCTTTATGAATTTGCTTTAGTCGCTCTTCAGTTGTCTAATAAAACGTGGATTTTTGGCCAAGATTCCAAGCGCTGCCCGCTCCCAGCTGCAGCTCAAGTGTTTGCGTGGAGCTTGCCGCAAAGTGAAGTGCAAATAAATTAGATGTAAAAATTTCTAAGAAAAATTCCACAAAATGCTTTCAGCGTCCGTGGAGTCGTTTATTTTTAACAAACTTAGCTTCTAGTGAAGCTGGATGATCTTTAATAATATTTAAACATATATATACATATTCTTGGAACTTGCGTAAGTGGGTAACTTTTACTGAAGTTGATTAAAAATGTAACTTTAAGCTCACTTTGCTTAAAATAAGGAAACAATAAATAATTAAATTAAACTTAACATCACATTTTCACACAATTATTAATAGATGGTTAATTTACAGATAGAAAGCACTAGTTCGAGCTAGGGACTCCTGTGTCGGGTCCTAGGGGCTTAAATTTGTAAAAGGTAAGCATCTAAGAAAGAGGAGAAAGAGGACATGCCCGTCAAACTTTTTTGTTATTATTTAGATTTTATTTTCAAGTGTATCTTTCTTAGAAATTATATTTAATATATTTGATTCTCAAATGATTTACGCTTTGTAAAGCTTCCAGCATGTATATAGTTTTATTTATAAATTTTTCTATTTTTACTTTAAAACTTGTTTGGATTATTTATTTATTTTTCTTCATATTCAACAAATTGACTCAAGTCAGGAAATTGGCTGTCTAAACCATGATTGCTTTCAATTTGCCCCAAAAAC